GGCTAATGATTTATGTTGATTGCATTATCGGCTGCTGCTCCGAACAGGTATAAGAAGAAAAGGTAATTAGGGATAAAAGAGAGAAACGTCAGACAAGTTTTACTCTCTAAGGCAGCCTCTCATACGAGGTTTTGCATTTTCTTGACAAGCGATTTTGTATTATAAACGACAATATAGAATTATATAATACGAGAAGCCATTTTTTAAGGTCATAGCATCTCCACCGTTATTACGCATTCCGAAAATAGGATATCAAATTAAAGAATTGGACATGTATATGTTTTATTTTTTGAAGTTAGAACTTTTTTTTAGTGAAACGGCTGGTCGGAATTATTTTGTTAGGGTTTTAATGGGGTTGCCATCTATTTTAAAAAGAAAGACTTTTATTTTAACCTAAGAAATGTTATTAAAATATAAAAAAAATATATAAATAGGTGGCAACCTTCGTTGATAAAATTTTGGTTGAAAGGTATTTCAGTCTTCTTTCATTTGTTTAATTTCGATAAGCGGTTTGTTTATTTTTACGAAGGGAATTTTATTTTGGCGTTACAAATGTTATTAAATTATAAAAAAAACTAGCAGATCCGGCGAACTTCGTTCCCGCCCAAATTAATTTTTTTTATTGAAATATTTGCTCAACGTTTTCGCCAGCAATTCACGTTCACGTTTGGTTTGGTCGTCGACAGAAAGCATATCCTCCATTGCCGTCTTAAAGAACCTGACGAAAGCGTTATACCGGGAAGAAGTTCTTGCGGCTCGATAGTGAATCGTCCTTGAATCTGTATAATATAGTTGGTGGCAATTTCTAAACTGGTGAGTATCATTGGTGCACATTCTGTTTAGTCACCATAAAGCAAGGACCGCAATGGTTCTGATGGTTAATTTAACGGAAGTAATTTGACTTTGATCCCTGGTGCCTCCGAATCGACGATTTTTAGCTATAGCTCGGCTCCAGCGCCACTAAAAATTATCATTAAAATCGTTTCGGTCGTTAAGGAGGAGTTAAGTCACCAGAATAAGTCTTTTACATACTGACACTCTTCGCCATTTTTTTCCCATAAAAAAAAAACTATCACGCATTCGTTATGTGGAGAAAATGCGCAAAAAAAAATATAGAAAAAGGTTTTTTCTTAACAGCGGTCGTCCTTCGGCAGGCAATGGCAAATCTCCGAGTCTATTTCTGCCATGAAAGACAGCTTCTCATAAAAATACAATTGCCGTTCGGAGTCGGCGTAAAATTGTAGGTCCGTCCGCTTTGTGTGACAACATCAAGGCGCACACCACAAGTCGGAGGAGAAGCTCGGCCAAACGCTAACATATGTGTAAGCGCCAATCTATTATTATTATTATTATAATTATTATTATTATATCCTAATCTAGGCAAAAGGCTACCAACGCACCAAATGAATTTTTTAACGTAGCTCGACCCCTGCGCCACCTATCGGAAAAATGAAAACTTTGTGCACTGCTTCTTCTAAACACCTTTCCAAAAAAGCAGCACCCATTCGAATCGGTTATGAAACATAGGTGAAAATTGATCCCAATTGATTCATGCTCCCTACTAGCAGACCCGGCGAACTTCGTCCCGCCCAAAATTAATTTTTTTATTGAAACATTTGGACCAACGTTCGCCAGCAATTCACGTTCACGTTTGGTTTTGTGGTCGGCAGAAGGCATATCCTCCAGTGCCGTCTTAATAACCTGACGAAAGCGTTATACCGTGAAGAAGTCTTTGCGGATCGATGGTGAATCGTCCTTGAATCTGTATAGCATAGTTGGTGGCAGTTTCCAAACTGGTGAGTATCATTGGTCCACGTTTTGTTTAGTCACCGTAAAGCGCGGACCGCAATGGTTCTGATGGTTGATTTAACGGGAGTAATTTGACTTTGATCCCTGGTGCCTCCGAATTGACGATTTTTAGCAATAACTCGGCTTCAGCGCCACCTTGCGCATCTTTTTTGCAATAGTATTGCCCCTATCGTTACCAGTACATATATATCTCGAATATGAGTCATATAGGATCACAAATACGATTTTGAGTAATAACTCGACTCCAGCGCCACCTGGCGTTTTAAGTTGTGAACTTAAACTATACAGGGACCTACTCAAACACATCCAAAAATTCATTAAACCCGTTTCGATAGTTTATGAGGAGTTCACCCACCAGAATAAGTATTTTACATACTAACATTCTTCGACATTTTTCCCATACAAAAAAAGAACTATCACGCATTTTTTATACGGAGCAAATGCGCAACATCATCAGCGAAAAAGTTCTCAAAAATCAATGCTAACTTATAGCTATTTAAAACCTTCACTTTATGATACTGAAATTGAGTCAACTACAAAAGTGCATACTCAAAATTTGGTGCCATTTGATGCAAAATGAACTATATTTGAAAGAAAAAAATATATGAAAAAGAAAAAAAACACTGTATTCTGGGTGTATGTATTTAGAGATAGGTAAAAGTTTCAATATTTTTTGAAATCGCCACGCCCCCTTTTCCAGTAGCCCCGAAATCTATATACCGATTTCCAGGACACTACCACAAATACTTCCAGAGATATACGGTCTGAAAAATTCGATAAGTATGGGTGATGCCACGCTCCCTTAATATATCGAAAGTCTGCAGTAGGTGTCCAAAATTTCATAAATATCGGTACAGCCGTTCTACCACCTTTTGTTTCCTTGCTAGAGGTTCTCAAATATTGCAAATAACGCGATTTTTTGACACTTTGACCTCGTTTTTCTTAAATCTGGAGCTGATGGGAACTCTATGCTTACGGATTCGTAATCAGCACAAAAAATCTGTCAAAATATCGTTAACATTTGCTGCATTATATTTTTTCCATTTTTGTTGGTAATAGGTATGACTCAATTATATTCTACGCATATCTATAATGCGGGCATCGAATTTCAAACAAATCGGACCATAAATAAGATTTTTTGGAAGAGATCGGATCCTATATGCTAAATGCAGTTTTTCAGCGTAGCTCGATCCCTGCGCCGCATATCGCAAAGTTTAAAACTTTGTGTACTCCTCCTTCTAAACACCTTTCCAAAAACGCAGCAGCCATTCGAATCGGTTATGAAACATAGGAGAAAATTGTTCCCAATTGATTCATGCTCACAATAAATTTCACAATTATCCGAAATTTTCCAAGCTTCACAACGAATTTTCCACCTTTACATCGTCTAAAATCTTCAAATCATGGGATAAAATGCAAAATTTCGTTGAAGAAAATTCAAATTTTTCGCGTTCTTCCGGATTTTTCCGAGTTTTCCACTTAGAATTTTCTATTTTTCCATTCGAGAGCCATTCCGAAGGAATTGCACACAAAATTCAATTGTTCCAATTTCACAACTTTCCTGGATGAATTCCCTTCCACATGGTCCTATTAGGCTTAATTATTACATTATTTAATACTACGTTAAGCTTTTAATTAAATATTGTTATGAGCTAGGTTCAATAGAGCCGTAAGAAATAAATAAATATGTACTTATGTAAGTCAAACTTCGCAAGAAGGAAAACACCATAGTTACGGAATCTTAAATGACTCACAATAGGAGTAATCTCTCCGAAATAGGGCTCTGAATGTCTGGTGGGAAACAGAAAAATACTATAAATTACACTATTGCTCTGAATTAAAGGTGAAGAGGTAGATATGCAACACACTGACTTCTTTATTCAAGTCATTTATTTCCAGCGCCAAAAAACAACAAACATGCATATTCGCTTCTAAAGTCCAAAACGAACATTGCTTATCAGGCAACATAAATATTTGTATTTTATGATTTCAAGTAGGATATTTGCAATCCTTTGCAAAAAAGGGAAAATAGCATTGAATTATTAGTGATTTTATCTTTGAAGCACGCAAAACCACCACACCATACATTTACACACTAATGTAGTTTTACATTGCAGGTGTATGCATTTCCGTCCGTGAGCAAAACCGAATCTTTATGGAAATGTGTTGAAACTAAATAGCAAAGTTATAGGTATGCCGTGGGCGGAGTTTTCATTTACGTAAATGCCCAGCAAAATTATTTCTGATACGAAATATGTACATATATACATACATTTGCATGTATGTAGTACGTATTCATGGGCACCAACTGATGCCCGACATGGGTACAATTTTACATAAATATGTATATTGCGCAATATTTATATTGCTATTATAAACTAAAGTTGTAAACTAAAGTTGTGGTAA